ATTTTACTTCTATTTGTGAGAAAAAATTTTACCTAAGTTAAAAAATATTTAAAAGGTTTTGGAAAAGACAATAATATATTTTATGACCGGATTCGTATATTTTTTTTATTTTTGAAATAAATAGTATCTTACTAGTAGCAAATGACTCAAAAACTCCGATTGTAAAATGACAGGTAGTAGGTACTGATGTAAATTTTTGTCCGTTTGCGTTTACTATTAAGACTCATACACAGGCAGGGCCATTTTATAAATAGATTGCTCTTGTTTACCTGCTAATAAAATGTGAAAGAAGAACACAACAAAATTTTTGAAGCACCCAATATAACATGTTTGAAATAGTTTTAAAATAATTATTTAAAGAAAATTGATTGGAAGTAGGTATTTTGTAAGTAACGTATAAATAACCGAAATGAGATAATTCAAATTGTTGAAATGTGTCAACCTATATTGCTTTTATTAACATTTTTGTTAGCCGACACTACTCAACTTACCTTATTGGGAAATACAAAATGTGCAAGAAAAATCATACATCCTCCCTCATTAACATTTGAAACCATACTGAAATATGAATTTGAAATTTTTTTTCATTTTTTCTTTCCTCCTACCTTTCTTTCTTTTTCGTACAATAGAATTTAAATGGGAAGCTTTTTAAAAAATGTGTATAATATTCTGAGATTTTTTAAAATATTAAACTCTTTTTTACGTAAAAAAAAGAAAAAAATAGTAAGAAATATGACACGATCAGTAGCATTTAAAGAAAAAAATAGGAACGAAGCTAAAAATTCGTAATATTTCGTAAAAAAAATTGAGTATTGGGACTTGTTAGATATAAAGACATTAGTTTTTGTTATGTATTGTATGTGTATATGAAGGCATATCTTTATAGAGAAGAGAAAAGAAGGAAGTGTATAGAGAAGGTATATCTTTATAATTTTATAATGAGTAAAAATTTTTTCGAGAAATTTTCACTGCTGGTAAAAATCTGTAAGAAGGTTATCTGAAACAATGCAACGTATCTTTGTTTAAAAACTTTAAAATTTTGTTTGAAGACTTTCTCTCAATATTTTAAATACGTTTCAATAATATTTTCATATATATATTAATTTTAATTATAAATTTTTTATTATTATCTTTACACTTTCATGACTCGTACTTAGAGTGATTAAATACTAAGTTAAATTAATATTTTTTACAATAGTTCATATAATGTACAAAACAAGAGAAATAGAATGAAATAGCAACTTAGAAAAATTTACATAATCCTGCGAAGTATGGTATGGTTTCAATTTAAATAGATATTTATACTTATGTACTTTGGTTTCTAACTGCTTTTCGTTGTTAATTATTCAAAGTTGTATAACTATTCTTAGAATCACATTTAGAAATACGGGATTTCAATACGGGATACATACATGGCATTGAATTAAATATTAAATTTCAATCTGCTTTTTTACAATTTACTGGCATGATTTCTGTCGAAAAATATTTCTAGTTTTAATTCAGCGACAACGAGAATCTTAAAGACTCAAAGGACCTTTTTGTTAATTGAATTTTTAAAATTTGATAAAATAAATTAATGAGGAATAATATATATAATTATATCAAATGCGATATAAAAACTCATAATTCAGTACAATATAATTTATATCTAAATTAAATATCTGTATATCCTTTTAATAATACCTCCAACTCAAAAGTTTATGCATATTGTACATTATTGAGTCCTTTGGCAATATAGAACAAGAAAATATCGAATTAATCTATACTCACTTAGTCACGTGCGTAATTATTTTGTATTATGCGGATAAGTTCACGTTTTTTTTATGTTGTCCACGTTATTTCCACATGTGAAAGAATAGGAATACGTAATAAAGGACACGTGTGTTAAAAATTCAAATAGTACGTGTCTCATTAAATATTACAAAGTCTTTTTTTAGCAATAAAATACATTTAATGTATTCATTAGAATAATAAGTGAAACTACTTTGTAATTTCATACATATAACGTATATGTCTATAAGTACCTATGTATAAACTTATGAGAAATCGACCTGTATAAATAATTTACATCTTATATTTATCGATTTGTGTTAAGCTCAAACATTTAATACTTATTGTATCTTTTAGTTATAACTAAATTATGAATTACTTATGGTGATTTAGATAGGGGTACAATATTATGTACCAACCGTTACGAACATCAAGCCCTTTAATAGCCCTTTCAAAAACTCTCTCTTTGAATCTTCCATACCTTGGGCAAGTAGAAATCTTGGAAAAGTTTGTTTAAATCTCCATATCTTAGAAACCGTTGAAATTTGACAATTAGCTCCAGACAAAAATTTTACTCATTTTTGATCTCCTAAACGACGATTGTATACAACACGTTATTGCGCTCTCTTATTGAACTCCTTATATTTCCGGAACTGGAAGCTTTTCCAAACTTCAATAAAAGAAAAACTCACGGAGATAACGCCATGTTACCAAAAAATGCAATATTGTTTTTCTTAACTTATTTAAACTTATTTACTTAACTGTCAAATTAGACAATATTGTGAACGCTTTTATTAATTTTTTGCTTTGGCCAATCCTAAATGTATGCAAAAATTTAATATTTTTTCGTAATATTAGAAAAAAATTTAAATAATGTAGAAGTTGTTTTTATTAAGAAATATTTTTACTTGTTCATGGAAAAGGTGCTATTTTACAAACAATTGCCGGTTGAACCCAAATTTATTATTATTATGCAAGATTATATATTAATTATTCAACTTTTAATAATTGCACTATATTAACCGATAATATTGCATTTAAATACCACAAGAGATTCAGATACTTTTAATATTAATGTCTTTATGTGTATTGTTTATTTGTGTAAATAAATATGTAAATTTTGACATTAGAACTTTTTCTATATTGATTACATGTACATATGTATGTTAAATGTACCAGTTGCGTTTATATACCGATAGCAGAAACCAAAAGCGTGTATGCACATTTAAACATACATATGCATTTAAAAATTTCACAATTCACTCCCAAGAAAAGTTTTACATGGTTAATAGTAGCATATAGAAGTATATACATACGTATACATATACCTATTTTTATTTGCATGGACATTTACGTGTTTACCTACATACATACATACATAGCTATGTACAAATATTTACGTAAAAATTCAATTAAAGAAATAAGGTTTTTTTTAAATACCATACAATAGGTCTGTCTGGGACAAGAAAGTTTTGTAAAACTTTTAAAAAAAGTTTTTGCATGCAAACTGTCTGGGATAATACTTTTTGAACAAAAAGGAGAGAAAATGATGACATTCTCATTTTCTCGATGTTTAAAGTTTTTTCAAATTTTCTAAAATAAAATTTAGTGTTTTAAAAATTTTTCAAATCTTACAGCTGCCGAAACATATGTTTTCCTTAGTTATGTCTGAAGGTTTTAATTTTGAAAAAAGAAATTTCATCAACAATAATTATACTCGTACTAACGTATGTTCGAAGGGCATACTAAATTTGCCTTACCGTTTGTAACGCTAAGAAATAATGGTCTTAGATATAGACTCAAGTGTATGTTTTTGATCAGCGTCGAATTCTGAGTTGATTTAGCTTTGTCTGTCCGTCCATCCGTCCGTCCGTTCCAACGATAACTCAAAAACTAATTGAGCTAAGTTCACCAAATTTTCACAAATGATTTATTGTACTAAATGCCGGAACCCTATTTAAATTGGACATGATTCGGGTACTTGCCATACAACTTCAAAAGTTATTTGACTATATCTCAAAAACTATAAAAGCTATATTGAAATTGGACCGATGTGTTTGATAAAATTCCTTAAAACTGCTTGGCTCTTTCTGGTAGCTGCCATACAACTTCAATAGTAGTTTGACACACACAGTATTGTTAAAAAAACAGTACTGAAATTTTGTATAAATTAATACGGTAATACGCCAACTTAAGGTCATAGTCTGTCCCATAGTCAGTTATGGCATATTTACTCGCATATTCGATAACAAATTCGTACGGGTATCACGGAGTTGACAAGGTCAACTCTATTTTTTCTCGTTTTTTTTTTTCAAAACGTTTTAATTAAAAATAAATTAAAATAACCAAAAAGGTTATTTTAATATATTTTTAACAAATGGTTTTTTCTAATGAAATTTCATACTTTTATAATCCAAAATCAAAATTTTCGGTTTTTGGTATAACCAAAAAATATTTGTTTATGTTTGATAAATATTTTAAAATTTAACGTTTATAACATTTAGGTATAAAGTTTTTAAAAGTTTTTTTTAAGTTTTCTGTCTGGTTTATTTATTTTTTAAGTGAGTATTTTTTATTCTTTTTAAGAGAAATTTCGCTTTTTTTTCTTTTTAAAGTTTTCGCAAGTTTTATCCCAAACAGTAATATTGTGAGAATGCAATGTTTCGTATCTTCGTACATAATAACATATGCATATATGGACAATCGAACACAAGTTTACAACAATCGATTGCGAAAAGTCGATATTATGATGGAAACAATCGCAAAAATTAAATACGTTTTTACTTGCAAATTTCAACAAAATTTCAAATGTGCAAATTTATTAACATTATAGTAAAAAATTGAACCCTAATTTCTAAAATAGTAAGTTTTGGAGATGGTCAATTTTCCTTTTAATCCAACCATATATACATACAACATATTTTGTATATATATGTAGGTAGATTAATGTTTATATTCATACATATTATATGTTTTTAGATATGTACATATGTATATATATATCAATTATTGAATATTATGTATGAGACAATATATTTTTTTTAATTTGTGGAATTTTGCCGATGGACCGCTATCAGATTCAAATTCAATGTATGTACTTATATCACTTACATTTACATGAAGAAATAACTGTACCTAGTCGGAATTCAAACAACTTTAAATATGTATGTATGCATGTATTCACCAAGTGCTTATGCATACATTATTATGTACTAGTTTGGTATAAATGATTGACAAAATACCTGCTTTTATTACCGCTTAATAAGCTGAGTAATGTTAAACGCACATTAACAATTAAATTATTAAAAAATATTAACAGAGATTAAACTATTAATAGAAATAAAATATATGTATATTGCATATTTATACTGTCCAAAATAAAATATGTACACCGAAAAATACCATTGATGAACCACGACTTTGGAATGTGATCGTGAAGTTTTGAAAACTTTATTGTTATTCTAATCATACAGATAGACGTAGGTAGATAGAATAATTCAAATATTTCAATTGAAATAATGTTTTATAAATTTTTTTAGAATTAAATTCAACACCTAAACCACCAATTTTAGTTCAATTAAGGCAATTATAACAACAATGGTTGATGTAAAAAATTCAAAAGACTTTCAAGTCAAACTCGGAAAAGTTGGATCAAAACTTGTAGTAATAGATTTCTATGCAAAATGGTGTCCACCTTGCAAACAAATTTCACCCTTATTGGATCGTCTCGAACTTGATTATAAATCTAAAGCCGTTGTATTAAAGGTTGATGTAGACAAATGTGTTGAAATTGCTAACAAATACAAAATTTCAGCTATGCCAACTTTTTTATTTATGAAAAATGAAAAAATTATTGGTAAGTTTAGCGGGGCTGATCCTGAAAACCTCAAAAATTGTTTTTATAAATTTACAAAAGTATAAGAACGAAAAAAATTGAAGAGTAACACTATATCTACATGTGTTTATCCAAGTTATACATACCAAGTCCATACATAAATTATTGCATACCTAGGTAGATGTGAAATTTTGTGTAAATTTGTTTAAATGTTCATAAAAATAAAATTATTTCAAGTTAAAATTTAAATGAATATTTTTTTTGTTAAATCAAGTCGTATGCAAATCTCATAATTTTGTATGCATCAATATAATGCATCTTGTCTCAACTACATACATACATATCTAGTTTAATAGTGCTTTGCATTTACAAAAGCATACAGCGCTGGTTCTAACTTTCAACACAAAGCTATTATACATTTTCAGACGTACTGTGCTTGAAGCTTGTAATTATGGAGTTTAAACTATAGTTATTATATATTTCAACCAAAATTTCTTTTGGAACCTCTTAAAATTAAATATCTAAATGCACTGACATGAATTTCTAACTGCAAACCTCATCTGACTCTCTAAAACGTTTTCTTTAAAAACAAACAGAGAAATTTGTAGGTTCTATAGCTATGGATAAGGATGGCGACCTCCCAGCTTCTACATTTGTCATTTGAAATGTGTATCATATTGAATATCGACAATATAATAGTGCCAGAAATATATTTATATTTATGTACACACATACATATATCGTATTTGTATTCGTGCTAACTAGAACACTTTTTCATGATATATTTTAGGTAGGTACATTGATGAAAAACTTTCAAAACCTTCTACAAAACTTTCTGAAAATGATTGGTATCTGAATCCCATTTTAACTGATCAACTAAAATCAAGAAAAATATCAAAATAAATAATGCAAATAAGAAACATATTCTTTTTAATAAATCGCGTAATATTTCATTCAAATATTTTTTAACAACTTCAAAATAATTATTTCAAAAATTGACCATTATTTGGCAATATAATTTTAATTCTTGTTTTACATACATTTATGCACTATGTATAACGTATTCAACAACTTAGATAGAGCTTCATTATATGTGAATACTTCATTATATGTGTAAAATCATTTTTTAAAAATATTTCTTAATCTATTTTTTAACTCAGTTGTAATACAAAACATATTTTTGAACTTATTAAATATAAGTATAGTTCATTAAACTTTTATAATAATATATAAATTAATTTCTACATAATATAACAAAATACAAAAATTATTCAACGCCAATAACATACATGTATAAATTCTGATCGTGCATCATTTGCGCAATGTTCCGAAAAGAATGTAAAAATAAAATTTATAAAACTTCAAGTCGACACTCAAGTCGACAATTATCTCATATCTTGAAATAAAATTAAACATAAAAATTTCACTTTGAACACAATTAAAATATTTGTTAACATAATTAGAATTCAATATTTTATGAATTAAAACAAAAAAATATTACAAAAATTGGCACATTTTAAAAGCATGATCTACATGATCTTCATTCAAATACTTATCTAATTGTATATCGTAACTTATAAATTAATTGTTGTTTGCAAACATTATCATTGAACATGTTTTTAAAAACTACATAATATATATATATATATATATATATGTATTAAGATTTAACTTTATATCTTGACATAATTGCTTTGTTAAGTTTTGCATAAAAGCAAACAAGTTAAAATTTTAAAATAAATTTAACGAAATTTTTCATATCTTTTAGGTATGTCGCTATATTTTAGATTTTCTAACATTATTGCATCTTCCATTGTTATAACTGGCTTCTTTGGGCAATATTTAACAGTATGTGCTAAATCTCCAGAGCAATTGCATATTGGACAAATATATGTTCTTAGCTTGGGACACAAAACCCGTCCAAATACATCACGAACTGAATGACTTTTAACAACTTCAAGTGGTTCGTTGTTATTGCTGCAAAAAACACAACGATTTTCCATGAATGATTGATTTAATCTGGTTCTGTCACTGTTACATCTTTCACGTTTTTTTATTTCATGTGGAAACTTTTTGAAATATGTTGGACTACCTGTGGCACAATGTTTTGCTGTTTTCTTATTTTTTTCTAAATGCAATGTTTCAGGAATAGTTTCAACTGGTTTCAAGTGTGTTTCTGTTGTAAAATCAATTGGTTCGGAACCATTCGCCATAAATTCTTTTCTCATTTCGTCATACGCCACAGATGCATTATCTCTTCTGACATTAAGATAAGATAAACCAAAATTTCTCAACGATCTAACAATTAAGTCGTCGTTTGGATTATAAACATTGTTATTTGGCTTCGTCATTTCCCCTGTCAATTGAGATGTTGTATTTTTAAAAATTAATGGTTTCATATATTACCTAGCAGAATGGTTTCTATTGCTCTGTACTTTAAACAAAATCTAAATTAGAACGTAATTGTTTTTGTCACACAAATTGAGCCCAATATACTTATGTACATATCTAAATTCTAAATACGTAAAATAATTTAATATGTACTAAAGACTTCCTTTCAAAGTAACGGATCATTTTTGAAGTTTCATTTTCCAAACGTTCCTGTGTAAATAAAAACATTAATGACATTGCATTAATCAGAAATTTGTTTTTTGTTGCAATTCATATCTTTCTATGTCTAATTTTAAAATTATTGGCTGTTCAATATTTCTAAATATCCAGTGTACTTGTCGAAAAACTTCATTATCGCTCAAGAATTAAAAAAAAAAAGTCAATTGACTAAAACCTAGTATAATTTTGAAAAGTATTCAAAGGAAAAATAAATTAATAAACTAAAAATGAATTCACGCCACATTTATAAGTTTACCTAATGCCTTATATGAGGGCCTCAGAAGCAGAGCTTGACGGCTGAAATTATTTTTCGAAATTCTATTGAATTCGGAATTTATTTTCGAAATAAATAAGAAATTAAATTAAAAAAGAAATTGAAAGAAAAGCAAAAAAAATAATTATAATAATCTAGATGGCTTTTAAAACCATTCTAAAAACAAAAAAAATATTTCAATCGTCATACTTCCAAAACATAAAACATTAAGAATTGTTTTTATAATATTTTTCCGATTCAAAATTTTCAGAAAATAATTTCAACTTGGTGGCCTAATATACATACATATATGGATTTAGTTTAGAATCTACAACATAAAATAAAAAAAAATTGTGTGAAACTAGTTTTTAAGTTTTATAATTGTTTTAAAAAAAATTAGAACTTAAAATTAATTAACATTTTATTAACAGATTAATTAGCATTTTATTAACAGATTTTAGATAGTCTTTGAAATCTATTTTTAATGATGCTATTAACAATTACTCTAACATGCCCCCTATTGCTTCCCAAGAACACGTATAAATTTCGCATTTTCAAGCTGTCAGTCTCTCTTAGGGTCCAGCAGCGTCTAATTTCAAAAAATGACAAAATTTCACTTCATAACTACAAAATGAAGAAATAATTTTGAATTTCTATTTGTACTAAAATGAAATACTTGTACTAAATTGAAATTCTAATTATATAATAACGTTTGTATATACTATATTTATACCAAAGTATATCTACTAACAAGTAGTTCGACTCTCCGTTTACATCACACTAATGCAATCACTCAACAATATTTCTATACAAAAAATTCCCTTAGTTAAAAGAGTTAAGCAGTATACCTTGTTATTTTCATTTTTATACACATAAGAGTTTTTGGGAGAGGGAAAGAGTACGCAATAGATGTCAACCTATTTTTTTATAATGTAATTTTGAAAGGCGACACTTTATTATTGGTTCCTATATAAAGTATAGGGAAAAATATTAAGAATTTTAAAAGCGACACAATAATTTCTGTAATTCATTTCAGTACAAGGAGGCAAAAAATGTGTATTATATTATAAAAGCGAAGCGAAAAAAAAGTGTTAAAAAAAATTATTATAATTTATATGAAAAATAATAAAAATAAATTTTAAAAAGACGTACGTATAATATTAAAAAAAATTTTAAGTAGTTGTGAAAAAAAAAATTTTTTTATAATAATGGGTAAACATTTTTTGAAGTGTTTGGGATGTAATATTGTGTGTGAGGCAAAAAAGTCGACACGAAATTTAATTTGTTGCCAAGAGATGTGGAGAGCTTTGTTATTTTAAATGAATCGGTAATAACTATATTTCATAAAGTACTCGTAATCAGTATGCATACACCTTTTTTTCTTTATAAATGTACATGCATGTGTACATTCATACATGAAATTTCAAACTCTTTTGCTTTCATACATTCGAATTTTTTTCGAATTTTTTTTCGAACTTTAAAAATTGAAAAATAAATTTTGTTATTATCAAAACAAAAATAACAAAATTTTTACCTAACTTAATTTAATTTTATTTTAGTTCAATGTTTTTGATACACTCGTTTGTTTACAACATTTTGTTTCTTTCTTGCCTACACAACTCTTATTACCATCTTTTTCTAAAAAAAAAAGGAATATTTTAAGAATTTGGAAGCAAGATGCAAATGAAAACTAACGGAATGGAACGAGTCGAATTACTTATTAGTAGATATACTTTGATTTATACTCTATATACATATATGTATGTACAAATTACAAATTTTTTTTTTCCTGTTCCTTTTTCACTCTTTCATATTACATATTAATTCTAATTAATATTTAATGCCATAATAAATTATTATTCTTAAGGTTAGAATCGCAAAGCTTTTAAAGCACTACATTTAATTTGTACATAAAGCTTTAAAAACTTTGTGTGTCTAAGCTTAATAACTACACTTCAGTATTATTTGAATATTTAAAGTTCAATATAACAAAAAAATCAGTGAGTAAATTGGCTGAAAAAATTCACTTGAGAAAGAAATTTAATGCAAATTTGACTGCATCAAACGTTTCCTTTTTCATGGGAGTGTAGAAATACTTACAAAATGAAAAAAATTTGGTTTGAAAATGTTTTAAAATAATATTTTAAAAATCTTATTAATATCTTAGGAAATTACAACAAATTTAACATTATTTTTTTTTTATATGAAATCAGTTTTGTAAAACTTTAAAGCTTCAATTTCAACTTTCCTGTTTAGATGACAAATTTTTCAAACTATCTTCAAATTCCACGGGATCTATTTGCCTCTTTGCGGAATCGTATGGTGGCGGGCCAATTAAAGACACAACTTCATCATAATTTAAAGTTTCTTTAGCTAACAACGCTTCCGCTAACTTTTCCAATTTATCCTTGTTTTGAATAAGGATGTTTTCTGCCTTCTGGTATGCAGCAGTTATTAGTTTTCGCGCTTCAATATCTATCAAATTTTCAAGAGCCTTGGAGTAGGGTTTTTCGGTTGCCATTGAACCTTCGGGATTGTCGTTGATATACACTGGACCTATAGTATCATTCATACCAAAGTTTTTTATTTGTGAATATGCAATTTTGGTCACTTTTTCTAAATCATTTTGGGCACCTGTAGTTATTTTATTAAAAGTTATATTTTCAGCTGCTCTTCCACCTAGAGCCATACACATTTTATCAAAAAGTTGTTCTTTTGAAAATAATTTCTGTTCGTGGGGTGTATACTGTGCGAATCCCAAAGCTAAGCTTGTTCTTGGAACTATTGTCACTTTGAGCAATATATCTGAATTAGGTAACAACCAACCCACAAGTGCATGCCCCGATTCGTGATATGCTATGGTTTTTCTTTCAATAGGACTCAAAGCATGGGAACGTTTTTCTGTTCCACCTACCAATCTTTCAACAGCATATTCCAAATCGCCAACTTTTACAATTTTGTTAGAATTTCTAGCAGCATGCAAGGCAGCCTCGTTGCAAACATTTGCAATATCCGCGCCTGAAAATCCGGGTGTCAATCTAGCTAAACGTTTTGAATAATTACTGGGATCATTTTCTAATACAATTCCGGACAAATGTTTTTCAAATATTTCTTGCCGCTCTTGAAATGTTGGCAAATCAATTAAAATGTGTCTATCGAAACGCCCTGGTCGTAATAATGCTTTATCTAATATATCAGCCCTGTTAGTACTCGCTAACATAAGCACACCTTGCTTTGACGCCATTCCATCCATTTCAACTAAGAGTTGATTCAATGTTTGCTCAGATTCACCTGAACTTGTTTGGTTAACATTTCCTACATCAGAACGTTGCCGACCTATCGCATCAATTTCATCAATGTAAATTATGCAAGGTGAACGCTTTTTTGCTTCTTTAAACAAATCACGTACCCTAGCTGCGCCTAGTCCCCCAATCATTTCAATAAATTCCGAACCATTCATACTTAGAAATGGAACTTGTGCTTCAGTTGCAACTGCTTTTGCTAAAAGTGTTTTACCGCAACCTAACTCAATATATGTTAACATTAATAAAATTGTTTTAAATTTTTATAATTTCCCTATTACCTGGGGGTCCAAGAAGTAATGCTCCTTTTGGAACTTTTGCTCCAAGTCTTTGATACTTATCGGGATGTTTTAAATAATCTACAAACTCCATGACTTCTTGTTTAGCTTCCTTTAAACCAGCAACATCTTTAAATAAAACTCCTTTGCCGCCTCCATCGAAAGGGTCAACCAATGTAAATTTTGCGCGGGACATTTGAGAAAACGTGTCCATACTAATAGGACTTTTAAACCCTCTCAGTCGTGAAATTATTGTCATAAATATTATAAAGATTATAGCCAATGTAATTAACCTGGACGTTATATCACTTTGTCTATCATATGTAATTGAAATTTCTTCTTTTATTCCTAATTTTTTTTCTACATCTCTCAATTTTTGTTCGAATTTGCTGGCGTCCGCTATTGCCATATGAAATATATTTGATTCAACTCTCCTTCCTTTTATTATTGCACCATCATGTAAAATTATTGTAACCATATCCATATCAGGCCGAATTATCAATTCTTTAACTTCACCTGCTGCTAACATGTGATGGATAAATTCATTCCAAGAAACATATCTAGTTGTTGTTTCCGGATTTTCTCTACCAGAAAATAATATAGTTATTAGTGAAGAAAACATATAAAAACCTAAAAACCAAAGCCCTATTTTCGTGATAACAGCTTTAAGTTTTTCATCGTCATTATTTTTGTTATTTCCCCCTTGACCTTCTGATCCAGAGCTACCTCCATCATCTTTTTGTGATTTATCTTGTTTTCTTTGCTCTCTATCCGATGAGCTAAATTTTAGTATATTATTTTTTACTAAAGGCCAAGCGGTAAATCTCAAGTGCTTGATTTCGATATCAGAAATTTGAAACAATTTCTTAAAAATTAAGAGGGTTTCATCAAATTTTTGAAGAATTTTGTTATTAGTTATTATTGTTGTTGATTGAGACTTTGATGTATACTTCTCATTATTAAGAGGTTGGGAAATACATCTTATGTTTGAAAAATTATTTATGACGAAATTGTAATTCGGCGGAAGACGAATGTATCTTCCAAATTTTAGCATAACTTTAAGTGCGATTCCTAAAATTGATTTGTTTAAATTATAAACTTTTTTCCTTTTTTTTATCTTTTTTACCTCTTTTTTGTATATGCAATCAAAATTAATTGTAATTATAACAAAAATAAAATAATTTCGAAATAGTTCTCGCTCACTGCACCGCAGCTGTTTTTTTGTTTTTATTTATAAATTAATGTCAAGTATGACAACAATTCTCTCTACGGCATCCAAAAAGAACCTAAAGAGACAAATTATGTGGCTAAACAATTTTTGACAATTTAACATTTTAATTTAGGTTCTAGTTAGAGATCAAACCGACCAAATAGGATTCCTACTGAATGTTCGAATAAAATTTTTAAGGCCTGATCTATCTCGCTATTTTACTCGGAAAGTGAGAAGAAATTGAGTAACTATTATATACTTGTATAATGTAATTTTCGAGTGATAAGAATTATTTGATATTACGTGTATTCACTTATTTTGAAAGTGAGACGTGCAGTCGATAATTTAAGAAAAAAATGCAATCAAAAAAATGAGTAATCTTATTGGAAAAATGAAAGTGAATAAAAAGTGAGTAAAAATGCGATATACACGATCAGGCTGTTAATCAATCAAAATTTTAGTTTTACTAACCCATAAATTGCTAAACTCAAATAGTTCACTTTTTTTGACATTTGCGTGTAAATAGTATTTTCTTTTTCTTAATTTTTGCGTGCATTTTTTTTAGAACATGATACAAATTTTAGTTAATTTTTCTGTAGCAGATGATTTTAAGGAGACTATTTGGTTGGAATTGGCTATCAGTTTTATAAATACTTTCAATTAGTTTTCAGTCAAAAAGTACATAAAACAATTTTATTAAATAACCTTATTTTTATCTAAAACCTCTGAAAAATACATTTATAAAATTCTGTTGATTCTATATGTTGAACATACAATGTATAGTTCCATCACATGAACGTTGCATTAAGTTAAAAATTGTTGAACAACTTAGTTGGTTGAAGTATTTAACTGGGCTTCATATAAATTTTTTATAACCCAATAAACTTCCTTCTGACATTTAATGCCAAAAAAGTTGTCATTAGTCCATTTCCATTACATATTTTACTGAAAATAATTATGGAAATTGTTCATAATTTATTTTAAGATAAAGTGGAGTTACAACTAGTAGTACAAATTTAATTAATATGAGTTTTTTTAAATTTGCATTTGGACCTAAATTATTTAAAGAGTATGGAAATGGATCAACACAAAAGATATATGAGGCTGGTGGTTTGGAAAAGTGGGGCGATCAAATTATGTCAACTTTATCAATGATATGGCAAATTGGATACTACACATCGCCTATATTATTGACATTTCTTTACCGTCGTGGATATTTTGTAACCGAATCTATTAGTTCGATAGCTAAATTTACTACTGGTATTGGAATAATAGTTATTATATCATTGTGTATGAAAGGTTTTGGTCGTCAACAGTGTGCAACATATTCAAGATTTTTAAGAGCACTTGAGAGTTCAAAAACAAACACTGAATCAGGAAAAAATCTGATTAGAAAGTTTGATTTCGATTTTAAAAGTTGGCCAGTTGACTATGATGTTAATGAAAACGAAAATGAGAAAAATAAAAGAGGAAATAATTCCTTTGAAAGATCACAACGTCAAAGGTCATTTTGGATGTCATCTTTACCATGTGAAATAATCGCTTACATTGCTATTCACACATTTGGATTAAAATTAATTTATCCAGGATCAGTAAGATTATTGCAAAGCTATTTTACACCACTGTTGATTCAAGGTAGAGCAAAATTAATTGAACAAGAAAATGCTACAAGAAATAAGATAAAAACTAAAGACGGAAACGAAATTGACACAATATTTGTTGATAATAGACAAAAGTCAAATAATGGTAAAACACTGGTTATTTGTTGTGAAGGAAATGCAGGTTTCTATGAGATTGGCATTCTTTCCACACCTTTATCGCTCAATTATTCTGTTTTGGGATGGAATCATCCAGGTTTTGGGGGCAGCACAGGAAAACCATTTCCGGCACAAGATCAAAATGCAATTGATGCAATCATGCAATTTGCTTTAAATAAATTAAATTTTCTACCAAAAAATATTTTGCTTTACGGTTGGAGTATTGGTGGATATCCAACAATATGGGCTGCAACTCAATATCCTGAAATAAAAGGCATAGTTTTGGATGCAACTTTTGATGATGTCTTGCAGTTAGCACTACCTCGCATGCCAGAAAAATTATCTGGAATAGTACGGATTGCTATAAGAGATTATGTAAATTTGAATCATGCTGAAATGATTAATTATTACTCTGGACCAGTTTTAATGATTCGAAGAACTGAAGATGAGATTATATGTGTCGAGGAAAATAAAATAGAAACAAATCGAGGAAATTTTTTGCTACTTAGTTTTCTAAAATATAGATATCCCTTGATTTTTAGAGATCTACAAATGGCTTATGCTAAGTCATTACTTTCTAAACCATTGGAGAATTCTACTAATCCAGAGGATAATGATGACGAATTATGTTTATCTTTATTAACGTCATATGTAACAGATAAATCAAAAAGCTATCCAATGTTAATTGGAGAAAATTATACAGAAGAACAGCGAAATAAAATGACAGAATTTTTGATAAAAAAACATTTCCGTGATTATAAATCTTCACATTGTACACCATTACCTAGTGATTACTTTTCAACGCCATTTGATATTCATCCAATAAGCGATAATGATTTTATATTCACTTAAAAATATTTAAATTTTATATTATAAAACATATAAGTATATATTGAAAATAATAGTTTTTTTAAATAATGTATTTTGAATTACATTTTTTCAAATTAGCACTCAGTTGATAAATAATGCAATATTTATATTTGTACATACTTACATACGTATTAAGAAAGAGAAATTTCAAGGTGTAATGGTATTTTATAGAACATTATGGAGTTGGAATACTAAAGTTAATAAAAACTAAATTTTTTAGCATTTAAATATCGTGTATATGCATTGAATAACGTAGTTTTTAGACTCGAAAAAAAAAGAATCTGTCATTTGGGTTAGCCATAATTTAATTCGCAAATAAAAAGTTTAACAAGAAATGATAAAAGCAAGTTTGATTCTATATATTACTTAAGAATATTTTAGGAACGAATGTGCGCAATATGAATTAAGCAACAATTGCTTCAGTTAATTTTTATCGAATCATATCATAAAGAGAATTTGTATGTATGTAGATGGTATTTACCGGGAAAGGAAGGATTTTTATTTTTGACAAACACTTTGAAAATACACTTCCTAATGTAAGAATTTCCAAACTATAAGCTTCACAAAAAATTAACAGGCTTATTGGGGGGATTTTCTATAATTCAGTTCTAATTTAGGTCTTATGAAGCACGTTCGATAATCCAAACCGCAAAATCTACAAAAACAGCATGTTTGAAAATTATAGTTGTCAGTAGTGCTTATACAGAAATCTTATAAATTAGAAGAAGAGCATAATAGAAAAATATTGGATATTGAAGAATTACTCGATTATGCTATAAATCTGCAAAAGTAAAAATTTTGAACTTTCAGTGCATTTCTGAATTACCGAAAGTCTCCTCGATTTAAAAGATTTTTAAAGATTACATATGTTTTTTAATATGGCAAAATAAGATTGAAGTTAAAACTTTAAGTGCATATCTGGACTATCTGAAGCTTATATCACAATTAAATATGTATGATTTGATAAGAATATCAATTTGTAAGAAATTTTATTGTAATACTTTTCTTTAAAAAATTGCAATAAAATTCAGCTCGAAAGCATTCGACGAATTTGCTATAAAAAATAATTTTTTAAATTTAGAGGTTTCAAATCTTTAAAAATTTTATTTCGAAAAACGTTTAATCACTATTCACTGTAGCAATTTTCGAACGTGTTTTTCCGTAGCACACTTAGGGGTTTCTGCATATTGCTTCGGACTGAAAATAAAAAAACTCAAACTACTAAATAATATACAAATTTTGATTTTCATTTTCATATGTAAATCAAAAATTAATATAAAAGTTAGATAACATATATTTTTTAATTTCGAAAACAATTGTTCACACATATATGTGCTTCCGAACATGACTAAAACACACTTAGCCTATAGTAAAATATTGGGAAAGATTTATAGGTAAATAATTATAAAATTTAGTAATTTTTACTTCTCTAAATTTTTGTTTCAATACAGAATCGATCAACATTCCTATTTCAATTGTATATTTGCAATTGTGTACTTTTCGCATATGCACAAGTCTGGTTTTTAAATGTGTTACAAACCTCCGCAGAACTTTCACTTTGGTTTGAACAAACTCTTACCGATAAAAGAATATTTGTAACAAAAATATAAAAAATAAATTTCACAATTTTAGAGTGGGCCACAGGTTCCAGAACTGCGGGTCACATGCGGATTTAAATTAAAATCTAAGTTAATTTACATATTTTAAATAAGTTTTTACTATGATATAAAACTTTCACCCATATTCTGTTAGACGCGTCACTACTAGCGTAATAAAAAAAAAACTATGCCGTCATCTCAATTTTTGATAGTAGTATCTAAAGAGGCGATGAAAAATGTTTTTAAGTTGATAACACTAACCACCTATCAACTATCAACAGTATCACTTCCTGCAATATTTGCTTACGATGCGACTTCCAGAATATCACTGGTTATTTCTGTGTATCTTAAAAAATTCTCTTTGTAAACTTGATATTAAATTTACTTTGATTTGCTTTTAAATTTTAATTCAAAAAATTTTGGATATGACAAAAAATTCACTTACTCTGAAAAAGCTTCCTGCTCCTATTATGAAATTTTTAAATAAAACAAATACAATGATTTTTGGTTTGTGTGTTGGCTGTACCTTTTTTTTTGTTTTTGTTAAATATTTTATTATTCTTGCTTTATTCTTTTTATAATTCTCAAATTTTATAATCAGCTTAATTTAGTTTTAAAAATGAATTTTATTTTTTATAGTATTTCCATTAAGACTTGGAGATTTCTTATTTAATTATTTATGTATTTTTATTTTCTTTTTCACAAATCGATAATTAACGCTTATTATTTATATTGATTAAATTTTTTTTATGCAGTTTTCTCATCTTCTTTTCAAATTTAAATTCAATTAAAACATATTTATTTCATCAGCTTTTTTTTGTATCTGAAATATCGATTTTTTTTTTATTATCATCAATTTTCTAATTAAAAATTAATTTAATTAATAAAATATAAATGTCTGTTTCATTTACGTTATATTTATATTGGTATATATAATAATGTTAAAAAAAACTTTAATTGGGTGTAAATTAAAAAAAAAATAAATATTTTTTAATTTATTAAATGTTTTTCATATTTTTAAAAGAAATAATTTTCGTTACCATTAAGTGACGCGTGATTAAATGATATTTATTCAACCTGAATATTTCAACCCATGAATATACAAATAAAATCAAAATTTATAGTTTTTTAAAAATTTTTATATGAATAATTCTGAGAAATTTAAATTTTAATTCGCATTTCTTTTTAAAGACTTCCTTCCTCAAAATTTAACGCCGATATTTTATATAAAAAAAAAATTTAAAAACCCGCAACCGCAATAAATTTAAGGCGAATATTTTCGAATTTTGTTAATTAAATTAATGTTAGAAAACACTATTCAAAAACATCAATGGAAATTGAAAAAAAAAAGCGAAATTTATATAAAATATCAAAAAATCATTAGAAATTTACTTGTATATTTAATCCCGCAGTCAAATCAGGAGCTAATCCTGTAGCTTTGTCATTTATTCATTAAAAAATTAATAATTTCTTTTAGTTAATTCTTTTAATTAATAGTTTACTAATAATATTATTGGTTATCAATAATAATAATAATAACAATGATTACATTACTCTTGTTATAATACTCATAAAAGTAATTATATTATTGTTATTATAACTAAAATTGAAAAAATAAAATTTGAATAATAATGATAAGCATATTCTAATTATACTGATTTTAGGAAGCATTTTACTAATATTTTTCGTTTTATGTAATTATGTACGTATTTAGATATTAATATAATTTGATTGCATTTATAAGTAAATATGTATTTAATGTTTATTGAATCAACTTTGTTTTCGCAGTTTTTAGTATATTTTTTTTTTTAATATTTTTTATTTTGACAATTACTTTTATCTAGTTGTAGAACAAAATAATACGATTACAAAATTATAACACTATTTTTTACACATATTAAATTAAAGAAAATTTAATTTGAATGAACATTATTAAATAAAATTTTAAGTTTACTCCAAATCAAAATTACGAATTTATTTAATAATTATTATTAAATTGTAAAATATTGTAAATTACAAAAGAAAAAATAGAAAACAAAAATGAATAGAAATCTCCAAATTTTTAATTATTATTATTAAACTTTTACTTAATTCTCAATATCTCACAATGAAAAACTGGAATTTCCTCTTCTTTTTGTAATATTTCTAAAATATTATATAAATATTATATTTAGAACTTTTAATTATTTAAAGTCCATATTTTAAAATTATATATACCATTGTTTTTATTATAATTACAAAAAAATTTGGAATATTAATTAAAATAATCATTCAAGTAACAATGTTAATTAAATTATATTAAAAATATGCATAATGATATATACTTCAATAGCTATTATTAAAATATTAATAAAATTTTCAAAAGAATTTTAATTCATATCGATAATTTTAAATATGTAATTAATTTTTTAAAATACAAAGTAAGTATGCATGTTTGAAACTTTTATAATTCTGTTTTAATTTTTTAATTTATAAATAAAAAGAAAAATCAATAATTTTTTTTAAATTTCAATAAAATAATAATATGTTTTTAACTTTAGATTTGGAGATTTTATTCAAATACAATAGGAAAGTTTTCAAAGACGGGACAGTAAAATTAATATTATTATAAATTTTTGTTACACACAATTTTTAATTTTCAAACAATATTTTTTATTTTTGATCCTTGTTTCATTTTTCTGTTATTGTTTTGTTTTTTTTTTTTTAATATAAAAGGAAATTTCATTTAATTTTATATATTTATGTTTATATTCATATATATATATATATCTTTTTTTTTTGAAGATTATCTAAATTTTTTTTGTAATTTTTTTTTAAGAATATTTTATGAATTTTTTTTTAATATTTTTTTTTTTATAAATTTTTTATTTTAAATAAATTATTTGAAGGTTTCATTTTAATATCTTTATTGAATTATTTTTTTGTATATATATATTTTTTTTTTTTGAGAAATTATATACATATAATATATATAATTTAAAAATTTATCATTTTGAGACATAAGCAAAAAATAATTGCTTCAAAAATTTTGAAATTTTTTTTTTCGACGAAGTTGGGAAATGAGTTTTATATTTTCCAGTTTTTTTTTTTTTAATGAAATATTAGATTCGACATTTTTTGTTTTGTAATTTTTCCACATTTTAGTCTTCATCTTCAGATTCTGCTTGTTCTAACCACGTTAACCATTGATTCACTTGAAATAATGCAGTACCTTTACCAGGATATTCATCAGTTACTTCTTCCTTCCATCTAAAGAATGCTTCTTCTTCGATAACATTTGATTCGTATAAATTTTTAAACCATCTACAGAGCATACCTAGAAAACAAATAAAATTAAAATTTTCATTATTGTAAATATTTTGAATTTATTATATTTGATTTGTTAGTTATAAACATTAAATACTATCCAAACTCTATAAAAATTAAATACCAAAAATTTTACCTTTGGGAAAACGTGCGTTGTAACAAAATACTTGCAAAGCATAAACTGCTATTAATTGCAATTGAGTATCTCCAGTTAAAAAAGCTTCTAGAATGTGGCAGTATTTTTGGAAAAGATCTTCTTCTTTTTCAATTATTGATTTATCTGGATTTTTCATGAGGTCGGATCCTTCTATTGACATTGTTTCCTAAAAAAAAAATTTTTTTATAAAATAGATGTAAAATTTTTTAAAGAAAATCACTTTTTTTATTCATTAAATAAAATATTTTACCTGTGTAACATATTTTAATATGACAGTCATTAATGCTGTTATAAAACCAGAATCTTTATGATATTTCGCATCAATATTGGTTTTTATCCATTTGTAGAATATTTGTGGATTATCTTCTAATTGAATTTGTTTTAGCATTTCTTGTTGAACTTTTAATAGCGGATATAAAAATGTTAATTTACGATCTTCTAATATTTCAGCTAAACGATCTTTATTTCGATCAGCTTCCGGTAAACTAGCCATCAAATCAACTTTACTTTGTTGGAATAATTCTTCTAATGAATCACGTCCCATTGTTTTGTGCAGTTTTTGTAACACTAATAACATTAATGGATAATGTTGTCCACCTTCAGTATATACGGCTATATCTGATAATTTACACAATTTTGTTTGAACAGATAACGCTAATAATGATGCAACAATTGTCGTAATTTTTGGTATAGTTGATTCCTTTTCACTCATTTTATTTACAATTTGCTTAAATGCATCTAATAAAGAATTTGATTGTAATTTATTATCTCTACGCAACAATTGCAAGAATGCAATTACATTCACATGATCTTGTTCATTTTTATCAAGAATTTCATTCAATATTGCGTATGTAACATCCTTCATGTGCTTATCTGGTACTTTGATTTCATAAAAGAGTGCAAGAATATCGTTCATACTTTTAATATCCTCTCCGTCTTGATCTTCCTGTTGATTATTTTCGTTACTGTTCGTTGAAGAAACGTCTTTTTCTGAGTTTTCTGCTGACTCATTTTGCTTTATGTCACTAATTACATCTTCCCTGATTTTAGCCCCAATAATATTTTCGCTTAAGAATGTTATAACTCCTTTTATAATTTTGTCTTTTCCAGGACCTTTATCTTTTTTTCCTTTTGGTTTTTCAATTGAACCATGTTTTGTTACTAACATTATATCGTCATCCTTAGTGTTGTTACTTAAAACAGGAGTTGGAGTTGCTGAAACCGATGATTTTCCATGAGAAGAAGAACTTGATGTTATTGAAGATTCATTTAATCCACTCGAACTTGAATTGCTTAAAACACGAGGCAAAGATGTTCCAGTAATAGATAAAACACCTCCAGCACTTGTATTATTTCCATTCGAAGTATCGGATTTAAAACTTGAAGTAAAAGATTGTTGTTGTGAAGTTAATAAACTGCTATTATTTAATCCTAAGCCAGTTATGCCAGTATTGTTGCTAGAGCTTGACAATGAACTACCACCAGATGTAGTGAGTGGTGTTGAAATTGGTAACATTGGTGGTTTAATGTTCATGTTTGCTTTAAATATTAAACTATTTGTTTGCGGTCTCATTTGTATATTTTCGATAGATTCCTGGGCTGTTGTTATTAAAGATTTTTTGAAACGTGGTGCTAAATCTTTATTATTTAACATACTACTAAATTGGTTTGTTCCAGTTAAACCACTGCCAACACTATTGTTACCATGCATATTATTAAGCTGATTGTTATGTTTATTGTAACGGTTATTATTATAGTTGTTATAATTATTTTGATTGTTCCTCTGGTTTCTGTTGTTATATCCTCCACTAAAAAACAAAATTTAAATTAAAAATATAAAAAACATGGTTTTGAAAAAAAAAATAATAAAGAATAGCGTTTATTAAAACGTACGGCGACATGATTGGCGATGCTCCGGTGACACTTAAGCTGCTAAACATGTCATTGAAATTTGAGGATTGCAAATTCAATGGTAATCGATTCATCCAGTGATCACTATCACGATCATTATTCCTTAAATCTCGATTCCTTAAAAACAAAAAAAAGATTAAGCACTTAATTAAATAAAAAAAATAAATAAATAAAAAACTTACCGACTAATATAGGGTGGCCGAATTACGCTATCGTCATCAGTACGTATTTGTCTAATTGGTACAGGACCCTCAGTTGCAGTAACTTTACGGGGTACCCAATTATTATCCCTTAATTCGATAATATCCCTTAACATAAAACGTATACGTGGTGGATATTCAGTTGATTTTGATCGTTGGTCCATTTTCGCAATATACTGATCCATCAACTTTTGGCTCGGTTTTGAATCCAAGTCCTTTCCGCAAGTTCTAATAAGCTGGCACAAGCATTCCATATCCTCGCACCAATCCTGTAGAGTCGCATCGGGACGTTTTTTTCTTTCAAATAAGTCTTGTATGATTCTGTGTATCGTTGATGTTGATAACATTTGCAATTTACTAAGTTCACCAATAAATTTGACATTACCGAGTATACGTTGTTTAGCAACATGACGTCTCTCTTCTTCTTCAGTTGTAATTTCATCATCATTTTCTTTATTGTAATATTCTCTATCCTTTTCGCTAAGATTTTTACTATCAAATTTAATATTAGTTGTATTTGAATTATTTTCACTAGATTTATTATTATTTGAATTTTTATTATTATTATTGCTATTTGAACTTGATGCTGTTGCAGGATTATAAAATTTATCGCGGCAAACGTTTAATAATATACGTATAAATGTACTAGCATGTTGAGGATTATCCTCGTAACTTGAAGCTTCGTCTCTGAGACGTTTGCACACTTGTGCATACATAGACGAGTACTTGGGTTCATCTAATGCTTTTTCAAATATTAATAACACAACACCATTTAGTATAGCTGTAGAACGTAAATCGACTTTTAATAATTCTTCACATAACTCGTGGAACTTTTCTGGTGTAAGCTTATTAAGAATACCTCGAACCTAAGGATAAAAAAACAAACAAAAATTTATTTAAGCAAAAAAAATAGTTATATAAATATTACCTTTCGGAAAACAGCGTCATTTTTATCTTGTTGTGTAAGAACATGTTGCGACCTTAATGATGGTGGTATCCAACGATCTACCGATTTTTCTTCTGACTTAGATGTACCTCCATTTCCCTTTATATCATCCCGTTTTGGTGAACCACCAATCGGTGAAGCTGATGAAGATTGAGGTGAATAATTACCAGAGTCTCTACCTTGGTAAGGCTGTCTTCCAGTATTGTTACTATTTTCTGATAACAAAGGTCTGCTATCTGGCCTAAGAACTGAAGGTGGTAAGGGTCCTCGTTCTAATTTATCAATGTGTTCGAATCTTTTTTCTCTTTCCGATGGATAGCGTTCGTTTCTGTCTCTATCAATACGATCTCTGTCTACACCAACTCTGTCGAAACCGCGATCTCTATCAAATTTATCAATACCTCGATCTCTGTCCCTGTCTCTGTCGTTACGATCTACACCTCTTTCCAAGCTATTATAATTGTTATTGTTGTTGTTATTTATAGGTCTTCTTGGTCCGTTATTATCATATGAAGGTCCTCGATTATTAATGTTGTTTGATAACCCTCGATTATTTTCACTAGCAATATTACGTTGTAAAGAACCAGCTAAACGTGGACCTCCATTTAAATTTGGTGACGCAGATGGTGAATATTCTCTTAATTCACCGATGCCGCTATTTCCACTTCCTCTATTGTATTGAGGGCGACCACCAGCACCACCGCCGCCACTACCGTTTTCGTTATATTTATTATAATAGTTATTCTCTCTTCCGTTATTATATGGATTTTTATAATTATTATACTGTTGTGGTTGTTGTTGCTGTTGTTGTTGATATGGTATGTTTGATCTTACATGATTTTTATTTATATACGAACCACCTTGTTGACCACCAATATTATTACCGCCACCAATATTATTTGAATTATTAAAACCACCCCCTTTAATAGGGTCCGGTGGTGTTACACTGCGATTATTGTATCCACTTGATTGATTTAAACTATTATTGTAATCAATATTACTATTTATAAATTGGCGTCTACTGCCGCCACCGCCTCCCTCACCAATGGAGGTTGGTATGTTACGTGAATTAACGGTATCACCGCTGATTATTCTACCTTGACCAGTGCCGTCACTACTTTTATTATAGTAACGCGACGACGAATCGTTTTGATACGGTCGCCGTGGTCGAGGGCTTACGTCTGAATCGTGTTGACGAATTTTGGCGAAATTTTTTGAAAAACCGTAAGAAAAATTTTCACTGTTTGTGCTGGTGTTATTTACACCAACGTTATTCTTATTTGTATTGTTGTTAATACCACTGTTATTGATATTATATTTTTTATTATCACCGTTTAAATGTCCGTTATTGTTATCTTTTATATTATCAATATTTTTAAAATTTTTATTACCTTCAATTATAAAACCGTTATTATTACTATTATTATTGTTATAATAATTATTTTTTAATAATAATGGCGGTGATTGTGTTGTTGAATGTTTTTGCTGTTGAAATCCGTAATTATTATGATTATTATTGTTGTTATTATATTGCGGCTTATTATGGAAGCGTTGTTGATATTGTTGTGATTTATTGCTATTATTGTTACTGCTGTGAGAATAACTAGTACCACTACCACCACTGTTATTATTAACAGATTTTAAAGATGATGATGAGGATGATGTTAATGTAGCAGCAGTATCGTTATATACAGATTTATCTATAGACGTCAATGACGCTAGATTTTCTTGTTTCTGTTGAGTAGCAATTTTCACAGTTATTTTTTCTTCTTGATTAGCCGTTATTGCAGTCTTTTTTTTTACAATTTAAAAACAATTAAAACAAAAACTTTTTTTTTTAGTTTTTTTTCTGTAAGGATATAAATCCTTATGTCTTTTATTTAATTATTAATTTTTTTTTTTATTTTTTTATTTTACACAAACACAAAAAATTTTCTAATATGTTTAATTTTTTTCGTTCTTTCTTTTTGAATTCAGTATCGAATTTGTATTCAAAAATTGGAATGTTCTTTTATAACTGTTATTTATTTCAAATGGTGTTTTATATTTTAAAAAACAAATGTTATAAATTTGAACAGTTCTTTTTTAATGCACGCGATAATTTCTTTTATATTTTTCTTGTTCCGTAAATTATCCTTGTTATTCCTTTTTTCAGTTAATTGTTCAGTTAACTGTAGTATTTTTAATTAATATTTTATTATTAGAAAAAAAATAACAAAACACAAATTATTTAATATTTTTATTTTAATTTTACGAAGAAAAATGTTCGTTGGTTTTTTGTTTTAAAGCAAATATTTAACGAACGAACAATTTTTTGTTAAAATCTTTTAAATGAATATTATTTTTTTTTATTAAAATAAAAAAAATTAATAATGATATAAAAATAAATATAGAGAATTATTGATATTTTGTTGTTGTTGTTGGAATTGATAAAAAAAAATGTATGAATAGTTATTACTGTTAATATTATAATTATTACCTAACGGTGCTCAAAAACTTTAACTATGTGAGTGTGTGAGAAGTTAAAATATATTAATTTTTCGCTATTAATTAATTACTAATTCGTTCTCTCCTTTATATCTTTCAAATATTTAAATATTTAATTTGCAATTAAGGTTTATTATTAAATATTTTCAATAGTAAAAATGTGAATTGTTTTAATCTTTAATTATTGAGAAAAATTGAATTGAAAAACAAAAATTATTTAATTGGAAAATTTATTTGTATAAAATTTATTTACGTTTGTTAAAAAGAAAATTATTTAAAAAAGTTGTTTTTTGTTTTTTATATGAAAAATTAAATTAAAAAAATGTAATGAAAATTTTTGATTATTTAAAATTAAAGCTGAGCACGAATGAAAATATTTTATAAAAAAATTTCAATTATTTTATTATTAGTATTAATTATAATTGTTATTTTCTTTATTTTGTATTATTTCGTATTTTTAGAATCGTAATTCTGAATTTGCTACAGATTCTTTATTTAATCGGCCTTGTAAAACAATTGATCCTGAAAGAAAGACAAAAATAAAATTATAGGTATAGTAAATATTTATAATAATCAAAATAATAGAATAATATTTTATAAAAATAAGTAATAATTATTATTGCAATTACAATTTTTATATTTAAAGTAGCATTAGTAGCTTTGTTTTTTTGTAAAATTCCGGAGTAACAACAGCAGACCGCGATTGAGTTGAGGGATGTAGTGTGCCTCACTCTGAGCGCAGAGCATCCCCTACAGCAATTCGCTCGAGACTCACCCTTAAGGAAATCATATTAAAGCAATAGTAAAATAATTTCAGTATCTCACTTATTCCCATTTATTAAAAGAATATAAATTTTTAACATAATTATTATTTTTAATATATACATATGTATATGAATATATGTACAACATAATATGTACATATGTATGTGGTTAGGTATGAGGAGTACACCTTTTTTATCATTTCTTACAAATATTCAATAAAAGTTTACAAGGTTAAAAATTTTGTTCCAATTTCCATTCAATGTACGGTACGTATGGATGTGGGGCATATGAATATTTTTCAAATTAAGTTTTTATTTCAGAAAATTTATCCTTGATCTACTTATTTTTTTTTCTTAATATACACACATGCATCTTGTGTACTTTTCTAAATTAAAATGTGTACATATGTATGTGCATAGGTGCATTATTAAAATACATTTTCGTTTTTTTTTCGTTTCAGAATGAGAAAGATAAAATACAGAATTCAAAGTTCACAACAAATATTTTTCATAGAAAAAAGAGAAAAAAAAAGCTGAAAAAAAACACAACCGACCAATTGGGAAAAAATAAAATTTTTGACACTAACATGTAAAATTATCCTTGAAATGATAATGTCCTTGTAAAATTTATATTATGAATTTTTCTTTATTGTTATTTTTTGTATGGATGTAAAAAAAAAACCAGTAGGTACCCAACCTATGTATCAATTTTTTCAATTTAATGTCCTTGGAAATTTTTATATACATACATACATACATACACATTTTCTTTCTATTTAATTTTTTTTTTCTTTTCTTTATTAATGTTAAAAAAATCTTCAAATTGTATTAAAATTTTTCCTTTTGTTTTACAAGGATTTTTTTTGTATTTTTCCTAAATTAAATTTTACATTATGTTTTTGTTGTTTTTATTTTTTTTTCTTTTGTTAAATTTTATTATTTTTAATATGCACTTCAATATTTTTGTATATAATTTTGGTATGAAATTTATTTGTTAAGGTAAAAAAAATTAACACAATTGATGACATTAAATTTTGAACGAAAGGACAAATTCCGTATACAAGTGTAAACAAAATAAAAATTAATATGCAACATTTGAATTCGAAAGAAACACGAAATTATATAAGACAACGACAAGGTGTCAAAACAGTATTTTTGATGTTGTCTTTTCATTTGATTCACCACCTGTTGGATAGAAAGCAAATTAGGCAGTCACAATATTCATAAAATTTTCTTTTTCCTTCTTAGTTAACACTGTTACGTATACAAGTGGGCTATGAACAACAATAGTTTTTATATTTTTTAAATTCAATTAATTAAATAATTTTTATTTTAATAAGTAACAATTATTTTTTTCTTTAATTCACAAATTTCTCAAATTTTGCTATTTTAATTTACTTGGTGGCTGTGCTTATGTTCGTTTTTAGCAATGTTGTACAATTTTTGAATTTGTAGATCTAATTATGTGAAAATTTCCCGATATTATTATTAAAAATTAAATTTCATACTCTTGAATTGAGATTCTCAATTATTTTTATTTCTTTATAAATTATAAATTTGATTTGTTTTCTCAATGGATTTTTGTTTTCAACTAAAACTTTCTTTATGCTTTGTAATATGAATATGTAAATTATTTTTCACTTTTAAACTGCTTTAAAAAACAAGTTCAATCAGAGATAAAATTAATTTTTTTATTTATTAATCTGGATTTAAATAAAATTAGAAAATATACTTTAAATGAAAAAAAAATTGTTTTTATTTAATTTTTGAAAACTGTTATACATGTACATATGCACAATTAAATTAATTTGAACTTGTTCCGCGAATGGATTTGACATTACTTAATTAGTAATACAGTGTAATACAACGTGTAATTGTTTAATTTATAGGTATTGTGCCTTTTACACTAAAAATATTATTTAATGGAAATTTCTTCATACAACTACAGAACAGATAGATGATCTAATCAAAGAAACGAGTTAAAAGCAGTAAAAATTTTTCTCCTCGAACTGGACCGGAACCAGTGACCTTTCGCTTTCTAGGCGGACACTCTATCTTTGATTACGTCAAACATCTGTTCTGCAGCTATATAGGGAAATTCCCAATGAGTTAATGGATTTACGACCTTTAGTTAAATTGATTTTAATGTTTTAGTATTGATAACTTTGATTTTACTATGAATGCATTTATTCAAAATTTTAACAATGTAAGAACAAGAATAAGCAGTAAGAATAAACATTTTTTTTTTATATTAATTTACAAGATGAACTAATTAAAATTTGTTTCACCTGAAGAATTAATAAGCACTTCAAGTGAAACAAATTTATAATAGTAGAAATGAATTTAAATATTTATACAAGTATGTACGTATATTCAATACATTAATAAATAATTTCGATTCATACAAGTCTCATTAGATTTGTATGCTTTTTAAAAAAAATGATGGAAAATTGAAAATGATCAAAGTGAAATAGTGAAAACAAACGTAGGTAAAATTGAAAAATTTCTTAAAAAACAAGAAAACATAAAGTGAAATGCAAAAAATATGAACAACATTGTCTAGTTTTTACTTACAAGAGTTTTATTTATACATACATAGTATGCGCACACGACACTGGTAACTCATGGGTTAATTGAAAAATTTATTTAATTTTCTTTTTTAATTACTACACTGATTTTTATTTTTTATTTCTAATTTTGAATATAGCAATTGAAAATCAAATTACAAACTAATTATAAAATTAATAAATGAATTCGTTGTTGAATAAGTGAGAGTAATATTATTTAGGAAAAATTATTGGAATTCAATTTAGCAATGCCAATCTCTGACTTGATAATTTATGTATATATATTAAATGGACACCATTTCTATTACATATATGGAAAATTAAGGAATCGCTCACTCACTCGGAAATTTTAATTTTTAAAATTTTCAATTAAGTAGGTCTATAGTATAAGGAATTGCATATTTTTACAATGTTTCATAATATTGTGTACAAAAATCTTGTTAAAAAAATCAGTTAGCATAAATTTGCAAGTGTCCATAAAAGCAAGTTCAAAAAATTTGATTCTTAAACTGTTGTTCTTTTATTTTAATTCTGTTAAGTAATGTTAAATAGATTTTCATATTTTCCGCAAAAGCAGTCTTTTAAACCTCGCTTAGGTATTCTTACATATAAAAGTAATTTCATAACCACACTTAATTCTTAATATTATAATACTATAGTAATGAACCAATCACCCATTACTAATACAAGTAACTATATTTTCCATTTTGTTAATTTTTAAATCCGAAAGAATTAGCGTACGATTACGATCATCAGTTGTTAATAACAATAATATTAAAAAAAAAAAGCAGGACAATAACCTATAAAAATTTATTTTTAAGTACAGAGAACGAATTAATTTTTAAAGGAAAACTAAATATAAAATATCTGCAAAAAGAGAAGAAAAATAAAAATAATAACGACCTTCAGTGATACCAGCACAGCAAAAAGTCGTTGTCCTCTATTTTATTCAACTTTTGTTTTGCTGTTGTTGTTGTTTGTTGTTGCTGGTTATTTGAACATATTTTCTTGATTTTTTTCTGTTTTTGGTTTTTCTCCTTTTTTTTTCACATTTTCTTAAAGAATTTCAGTTAAAAATACTTAATAAATATTTTTTTTTTTTTGTTAAAAAACAAAATCAGTTTTTTTTCAGACATAATACTGTAATTGATTTTTTAAGGTGGAATCTTGAAAAATGAATATTTCTTGTTGTTGGTTATTACTCGTATTGTTGCTGCTCATTTTTTCATACTATGAGAGGAAGTGACGCCTAATTTTGCGCGTATAAGTTGAAGGACTAATTTAAATTTTTGTACTTTGATTCTTTTATTATTCTTTTGTGTGTTTGTGTGTGTGTGTGTTAAATGTCTATAAATAAAAATAGTTTAGAAAATACTCTGTATTATGTTTAAAATTAGCTATAAGAAACTGGATTATGAAAATTTTAAAAAATTTTTCACTGTAATTATTTATTATGTTTGATTAGGTTGTTCGAAAAGTGGAAATTTTTTAATACAAACACAAAAATTATTTTGTGTGCGTGTAAAAGTGTATTTATTTGATTAATTAATTTCATTTGCAGACTGATTACTAAGTGTATACAAAAATATTAGAAATTACAAATTTTTATGTATTGAATAAAAAATTGAGAAATTGATGTAGATTTTGTGGAAATTTTCTTATTGTAAAATATTGCTGAAAATAAAGAAAATTTGTGAAATGTGTCAAATTTATTAAGCACGAATAAATTTATTCCATTTTCAAGAATTAATGTCCATATCAAAATATTCTAATTTCTTTGTTATCTTTTATTTAGCATAATTAAACTTGCAAATTACGCAAAAATTATTTTGAAAAAAAAACTTTTGGTCATATTTTTATTTACTAAATACTAATATATTTGGAATATTTTATATAATACAATTGCTGTACACAAATGTACACTAATCAAAATATAAATCAAATAAAAATAATAAATAAAAATAAATTGGGTTGCTAAAAAATTTAATTAAAAATCAAATTATTGAACAATAAAGCTTAATAATTTTTAAAATTTGAACAATTTTAAAATTGACGCTAATTTGAGCTATTTTATAAAAAAGATTAAATATATATTGAGAATATTGTGGAGTTAGAATGTATGTACTTATATGTATATGAATTTGGTTTCGTTTACCAGTAAACTTAAGTGCGAATTAAATACGTACTGAAATCTAAAATAATTTACTTTTCTCATTATCACATAAATTTTGTTTTTTGATTTTCAAAAATTTTCCTTACAAAACAGTTAAGAACATAAAGAAAATTCAATAATAGCTCATCATGTACATCTAATTTTAACTTGGCTTATTCAGTATAAGAAAATCTTATTTGCTGAATAGAATACATATAATTATTTTACATTATGTGAATTATGGTACATTTGGTTAAAGGCTTAAAAATTTGGATATTAACGAATAAGCAGTTTTTCTATAAAATAC